GAGTACTACCATTTATATATATATATATATATATATGCAAATATATTGATAAAATAGGAAAGAACTGTTAGATTGATGATCCGAAGTTCTTTAGTATTTTTATTTTTAACAAACAATGCTCGAAGCAGAACCTAGATTATAATTATTTTTTAAAGAATATGATTCCATCGCTAAACAGGAATTTGGAATCTTTATGTATACAAGTACAAATTTAACGGCGAAACAAAAGTGCCGAAAAATTTTCTGTCGTTGAAAAAGACCAGACGACATGCGTTGAGCGGATGTCATCATTCGTTGGAAAAGGCACCCCTACCTTACCTTGACTGAACCTCTTTTCGAAAGTAACTAATATGTTGATACAATAGTTGTCAGTAAAAATGAATACCCTAACGCCCCTTATTAAAATTATTGGTTTTCTCCATATCAATAGAAACTAATATTATGAATGTATTTGCTTATAAAGCTCCGTAAATTTCAAAATAAGTTATTCCAAAATTTGCTTAAAAATGAGACAGAACTAGGTAATTTAATTTAATTTCTATAATTCAATTGGAAATTTTTACCTTCTGGTTTTGAAACATGATAATTCCTGTGTAGCGATGAAACCATATTTAAAAAATATTTATATATATATATATATATATATATATATATATATATATATATATATATATATATATTTCGAAGACAAGGCTGGTATAGATGGAATAAAATTCTAATAACCAAAAAACAATATTTTTTTTAAAAGTGCTCAATATAAAGTAGAGCGAGTAATATATATTCAAAACTTCTAAGTATATTATAACATCACTACAAAAATAAATACCCATTTTGTTTCAATACTTCTGGTGTATTATCAAGTGATGGTGTTGATTGTAAAATAAAAAGATTTTAAAGAGTTCAAAACGAACCACTAGCTTCACTAGGGGAAATATATTTACGTAAGATGTAATGGCCAATCAAATTACAAGTATATGATAATTCAAATAACACAACAACGGACCCTAGATACAATTTATTAATGCTTTAAAATTAATATTAGATTATATAAGAATGAAGAATTAATCACCAGTTTATTGTGTAATTAAAAAATAAAAGTTACGAATATCAAACTGTAAATATAATCATGCATCAAGTTTAGAAACTTACAAAATTATTCAAAGGAATAAACGGAGAAAATATGCCTAAATTTCCATGTATTGTTCCTAGTAATATATTACGACTTCCGTTCGAATTTGAGCGGAAATAAGAGGTGCGATATATGGCTACAAAATTAGTTACATTGACAGGGTTGTGATTAGAGATTTAGTGGACGAGGGAGAAAGGTTTATGTGCGATAAGACAGACAGACATCACATCATAATACAACAACACGTAAATATGATTGAATATATGAGCACACAAATATACGAACGACAAATAAGCAGACTCATCAAGATTCAATCATCCAAATAACTACAGAGACAACGCAAATTACCTGTCAAAATTACACGAAAATCGAAAGTCAGTATACAAAAATATAAACATACGCATATATATATATATATATATATATATATATATATATATATATATATATATTATAAATTAATTGATTTAAAATATGTTTTTTCCGCTACACAGTTCTAACCATGTTTCAACAATGGAAGCTAAAAGCCCCGAATTTAATTTTGTAATTAAATTAAAGACAAATTCGCTTGAGGATGAAATGGAACTAATGTCTTTAATTTAAGGTGGGGGATTAAAATTTAACAGTGAGAAGTTTTAGAGAGGGAAGTCAAAGACGGTTTAAGTGAGAGAAAAATGAATGGAATATTAGTGTTTAAGCCTTTTTATTATACCCTTATCTGTCCCGGACATTGAGTTCTACCTGGATTCTATCCTCTGGAATAGTTTTTTTTATACAAAATATATATGTATCTGTATGCATGTATGTATATATATTTATTTATTTTGCATACGTATGTGTATATTTATATATATATATATATATATATATATATATATATATATATATATATATATATATATATTAAAAAAGAAGAGAGAAACCGAAAATGGTTTTGGTTGTAATGTGGATTTTTTTTAAATATTATGCTTTATTTTTTATAATTTTGCTACACACGTTTCCGGCCTCGTGACCTTCATCAGGCAAAGCGTGGAGATTTCCACATTTTATTAGAAATAATTAATTTTTTCTTATGTTTTTCCATGTTAAATATTCTCGATATGAGACATTCTTTTTTTTATGTGTTAGTGACGTAAATGTCTTCCTGAATTGCCAGTGAAAAATTTTATTACCCTTCTCCCAGAAATTTTATATATATATATATATATATATATATATATATATAAGTGGGCATTGAAATATACACACATAGGCGACATTCTCTCTCATAATAAACGTAATCGTCAGTCCATGTCGGCTCGGTGTTGACTTCATTGTCCACTTTTATATTTACATAGGTTATGCCCCTTATATTCAGCATTTTAACAAAGAAATCTTACTTATTATAAAACGCAGATTGTGTTTGTGTGTGTGTGTGTGTGTGTGTGTGTGTGTGTACGTTTATATATTGGATCGGATTTCCTATATTTTTCAACCGATTTCAACAAAACTTCACAGGACTAAGTAAAATTACCTTGCAGTGGTTCTAACAGCGTCAAAAATGAGAAAAACCAATTGTTTTTGCATGAAATCAATTTGAAAACACGATTAAGAGGCATCACGAGAATGAAAGGGCGACAACTCATATCCAGTTATACTTATAAAACCCAGGTTGTTTGTGTGTGTGTGTGTGTGTGTGTTTGTGTGTGTGTGTGTGTTCGTTTATATATGGGATCGGATTTCCTACATTTTTCAACCGATTTCAACAAAACTTCACTTTTTTTTTGGCAGGTAGTGTTTCTTATTGTCTTGCACACTTTTTTCTTTATTTTTACATATTTGCTTTAAAAATTCCATTTACAAGACAATTGTTTATAATAAAATTCTATTCATTCGGTAGACTCATAACGCTTGAAAACAATGTTTTTGTTTGAGTTTGGGTTTGACCAATTCGTAAAAAAACAAAAAAAAAAACTAATTAAGACATGCGTGTCAGTCAACCTTAAACAATAATGTTTGTCAATTTTATTTTTCAGTTTTTATGATGGTCGATACTTGATCTATCTCTTACTGTTACATCCCCGGGCAACATCGGGCTCTACTGCTAGTATAGCAGATTTTAAAACTATATTTTATCACACACACACACAGACACACACACATATTTATGATTAAATAGGGAACATGTAAGAAAACTTTTATAAATGTTTCGTTTTTTATTAAGTTTCAGAATTGGAAGTGGAATAATGTAGACCTGTTTACGTTTTTGTTTTAATTCTATGCTGTTTCGCATTCATTGATTTCGTAAACGTTTCATGTTTATTTTATGGCATTTGAATGGATATATGTTTGTATCTAATTTTGTGAAAGCCACGTTTTTGCCTATATGTGTGAGAAGGTATAGAATCGACGCTGACAAAAAAAAATAAATAATATACGTTTATTAGTATTAACACCATAAAATGTACACGTGACACCTACACAACCAATTTATTCCCCTTCCAAATAAAATCTGATGAAGTTATTTTTTCTTATTTTGTTTAGCGGCATATCAACACCTCTATGGGTTATGGAATGCCAAAATCTAAATAATTTGAACACAATTTTATGGCTTCAACTACAGATAAAATGTATTGTTGGTTATTTTAATATATATATATATATATATATATATATATATATTAAATATTATATATTTATATTATGTATCTATCCAGCTCTTATCTCAAATAACAACTTAAAAGAGACTGTTTAACCAACACAAGGAATGTTAAAAGATTCATGTTAAAAAGATAAAAAAATAAAAAAATAAAAAAACAAATGAAAACTACAGACAAAAGTTCATTTTCTCCATCAAGACATTCATTTCTGTAGTTCACTACTACCAGCAAGCAGAAATATTACTCCTCCCGATGATGGCCATTTCGGTCGAAACTAGTCGAGGAATCTAGATGGAATAATAATAAAAAAAACGAAATAATATTAATCTACAACCCAGTGTGTCTAAAGATTTTAATTTTTATTTTCTTATTGTTCAATATATATATATATATATATATATATATATATATATATATATATATATATATATATATATATGTTGTTGGTCTTTTTATATAATAATATATTGTTGTTTTTTTTTATTATTTATTCACATGTATTTTTATACTTTCATAGTGTTTTGTTTGGGGGTTCTTTGTTTGCCCATAGCAACGGTCCTAACAGGTGCTACCACCACGGGTCAGAGTGGACCTGGGAGCAACAGAAAATAAGTGGTTGTTCCAAACTCCTCAAACCCTTCAATCTCATGATCAGAGGCCTTCCTGCCAGATGTAGTTTATCGTCACACCTAGGACTGATGAAGTTAAATAAAAAGCAAAGCCCGTTCAACTTATAGTGGTTTTCCTACTTGTTCCTTACCTTATTTTGACTGATTTAACACACACACACACACATATGTTTGTGTGTGTGTGCGTGAGAGAGAGCGTGGTATGTGTGTGAGAGAGAGAGAGAGAGAGAGAGAGAAAGAGAGTTTTGTAGGCGTGTGCACTTTTAGGTGTACTTCAATGTGGTGCCCTCAGCATGCGTCATTCCCATAACGGTCAAAGGTCATAAATTCCTTCTGCACTCCCAGCAGGGCCGAAAAGAGGTGTTATTTCAGGCAATAAGCATAACAAAAGAGCAGCGACAAATCAACACCAAGACCACATTTTCCGACGTAACCAAGGCTCCAAACCTCTCCTACTAATTAACTTAATCCCTCTGCGCATGTGCCAAATTCACAATTAAAAGTGGGATCCGATTACCTTATTCGTTTATCTTCTATCATAAAATTCTAGACACGGTCGCCATTGTAAAGACAGTTCCCAAAACGGAAGCAGATGGTGGGAGAATGGAAGACAAACTTCGTTTAACTGGACTGATTTCTCCTCCTCTCTCTCTCTGTCTCTCTTTCTCTCTCTCTCTTTTCCTCTCTCTCTCTCTCTCTGTTCTCTCTCTCTCTCTCAAAATAGCTGTTCTCCAAATCGTAATCTGGTGGAAGTTGGGAACAAATCATACGGACAGAACTTTTAAATACGCTTAGAGGAATACTAAAAAAAGTATAGAGACATTTAAGAATCGATATCATTTGACTTGCAGCAATACCCAACAACGAATTCTTGTATAAAGAGAAATGAAGGATTATTTAAGTATTATTATCGACATAATAATGACGCAATATCCTCCCTTATATCTGAGCTGGCAAATCACACAGTCCAAGGGTGCAAAAAAATCGCCAAGCCCACGAAGATTTTAGTTTGAATCATTATATTCTGGAGACGCAAGTCACATCGTCCGGATAGGGATAAGAAGTTGAAATACTAATTAAAACAACTTTAACAACCACAAAAATCTCCTGAGCCGACCAAGCATAGAAATAAATACAATATGGGAGCCAGTAATAAGGAGTGCCAGAGAAAAGCAATGATAACAACAAAGTTGCAATATGAGCACTGGTAAAAATGGTTGCTGAAGACATTAGGTTTATAATACCCAGAAATTCATACGCAGATGTCCTCAAGCACGGCACAGTGGAAAAAGGCGTTGGTTAGATCCAGTTGTTATGTAACCAGTAACAAGACCCAAAGAGTGTGAGTTCAATACCCGGTTAAGACAGTGGAGAACTTTCAGAGGGAAAATTAACAGGAGATAACTGATAGCTGACATAATGGGTTCAATTCGATATTCCAACCACCTGAAGAAGGCCGGAGCGTACAACGGCCGAAACGTTGTGATAAATATGGTCAATAGTCCGAATAATGTAAATAATGTACTTTAACAACCCTAGAAAGTTCTGCTATGGTGCAAGAACTTTTAATGTTGTAAGAACTTTAAATGTTGACAAGCATTGAGAACTTCTTTGAGATACTGAATTCACAACTAAAACACTACCCAGTTTGGCGAAGAAAGAATATGTTAGTTTGCTGCATAATTAATGATTGATCTGTTTTCAACATTTTGCAGGTCATTTAAAGCCAGAAAAGTTTTTAAAAAAAAATTTGTGGGGGTGGGGGGGATAATGATCTATTGAGACAAGTCTTGCTAATTAGCCGATAGCTGAGAGAAGAAGAGGTGGCTTCATTTATTTCCCAAGGATATTTGCGCGTAAGTAAAGATAACGAACCCGAATGGAATTAGAACTCGGCTTTGGTGGAATAACTTTAAAAGTTGACAAGCATTGAGAACTCCTTTGAAATACTGAATTCACAACTAAAACACGACCCTGTTTAGCGAATAGAGAATATGTTACTTTGCTGCATAATTTAGTGATTGTTTTCTACGGCTTATCAACACTTTGGAAGTTATTTAAAGCCAAAAATCATTTTTCATAATTGTAATTTTCTTAAAAAATTAATAATGGTTTAGTTATACAAGTCATACTAATTAACCCATAGCTGAGAGGAGATGAGGTGGAATCATACCTTTTCCAATGGTATTTGCGCGTCAGTGAATATAACGGACCCAACTGGAATTAGAACTCGACTGTCCGTTTAAAATTTCCGAGCCATTATCCATTACACCACCCGCATATCCAGGCTTACAGCACCTGGTATTCCTAAGCGGTCACCCATCTAGTTACTGCTTATATTCGGTGATCGTACGGTAACATGTGGCCGTAAGTCCCAAGAGTAGTTTAAATGTACCTATTTTTTTCAATTTCAAAATTGTCATGTTAACTTATGTTGTCATATTACTTAACTAGCAGCATGGCCCGGCGTTGCCCGTGCTTGATTCAAAAATCGTACGACTCATACAGCAATCGCTATCACTTGAATTAAAATTATTTTTGCCCTTCCTTGCCTTTAAAGGAGTGCCCTTTGCCGTGCTGATGTTGCTACATGCCTTACTTCTTGCCTATCTCACACTGCGAATGCTTTCTAAGCTCTATACTAAACATTAAATCTGTTACGAAAAAAGAACTAAACAAAATGAACACAAAACGATCAGCTTTAAAAAAGGACTCGTAACTGGAAAAACCGAATGAAAAAAGAATGTTAACAACAAATACTTTTTCACACCCAACCAAGTTCTGCGGAATCAGAATCAACGTTGAGTTTAAGCAAGCGAATGAGCCAATTGGAGTAAAGTGCCATGCAGATTTAAATTTTTCCCACTTGTGACGAATGCAGCTATCGGTTTTTTTTTGCATGCTAGCATGCTAGTTAACATTCGAGTCAGTCAGCTGTTGGCTCTCACGCTGGCCAATAGAATCTTCCTGCCTATTCGTGGCAGCCAGCTATAGGCTCTCACTCTGGCCAGTAGTAAATTCTACTGGCCAGAGTGAGAGCCACAAACTACATGAAAAGTGCCGTAGAAGCATGAAAAAATCGATTATTTCCACTATCGATGGGAGTTGGGAAATGCAAAGTCGGCCTTGTCCTTCCCGCTAACTTAGAGCATGTGCATGTAAATTTTGGTGCAAATCCGTCGAAAATTGCGGCCGTGCATTCGTTACACAGACACGCACACACACACACACACATACACACACACACACATCTAGCCTTTAATAGATTGAGATGGATATATATTTGATGTCTATAATAATAAAAATCTGAAGGGAGGTTCAAAATAACATCACTTTTTTTCAGTTTTTGGTGCATAATATACATAAAATTCTAGCCTTTGTCTGTTTGTTTGTTATCGAACTTCTGCTAGGGTTTTGTAAATAGACCCCCACCACCACCATAACCATATATATTCTGAAATTACATTACCCAGTGTACTTTTGATTCATTTTGATCAAAGGGAGTTCTCGAGGATAGGGACACACACCCCCACTGAATTTTTCCCCTTTGATATAAATTAGATTTAAATTAGAACAAGGGAATGTCTCCAAGGGTACTTTGATAAGTATATTTCATTTTGATCAAAGAGGGGTTCCCTGGAGGAAAGGCACAACCTCACCCACTGAATTATTTTCCCTTTGATTTGAATTAAATTTAAATTTGAACAAATGAATGACACCTATCCAAAATATAGAAGGAGAAAGCCAGAAGATGGAGGTCACATCAGCAAGATCAAAATGAGACAATATGGTCGTCAAGTTGAACAAGAAATCAATCAGTGCTTAGAAGATGGAGGTTATATCGGCAAGATCATTTTTCTCTACAAATTAACAATAATTTGAAATCAATCATTATTTTATTAAAACAAAATTGTGACACACAGGAAGGCGCGCGTAATTCAAATAGAACTGACATAACTTCCAATAATTATGCGGCCCAAACTTATCACGACTTTTGTTTAATTGTTTCACACCAAGCAAAGGGATTTCTGAGCGTGAAAGAATGAGGAAAAGAAAAACATTAAGGAGAGAGAAAATAAAAGAACAAGAATTAAGAAGACAGAAGTAAACGGTTAACATATCTGTTAAATTTTTTAACAAGATTTGAACTGTAAAAATGATGAAAACTTCCCGCCAATCTAGTACTTCCCGCCAATTTAGTACATACTGCCAATCTAGAACTTGCGGCCAATCTAGTACTGCACTTAAATTCATAAGTTATGAGTACTAAGAACATCAGAACAGTTACCATGTAAATATTTATATAAAAAGGTTACGTTACGATGGTTGGAAAGTGATGAAGCCGAGATACCAGGTCAGGCTCGATAACATTGCAGATTCTTCTTTGGATTTTATCAAGAATGTCTAAATTCATAGCAGAAACAACAGAACAGATGTGACAGTCATAGTCATTATTATTATATCATATTCTTTTGGTGTCCGGATTGGGTAATCAGCTTTGTTCACTCCTGGAGACACAGAGGATGTAATAGATTTATTTGATGGATAGTATCCTCCTTAATACGCGAGTAGTGTTTAGATGGACGATATTTTCGACTTGTTGCCAGGGATTTTCTTGGTGTATTTTCCCATCCCTTACAACGAGAGCAACTACAGGCACTAGTATTGCTGTAGTCTTTATGTCGTACACTTCCCCACTTCCTATTTCAGAGATCTTTATGTTTGCAGAATTTCTATCTAGTTTTCAGAGACTTTTTGAATTCAAACGCAGTACTAGACAGGCTTCGAAATCCCATCAATTTACAGTTGAGGTGACTACATGTAGATGTAAGTTCTATCCTAACTGTTACTTTTCTCACTCGTGGAACTTTTTTCTGGCTCTATGCTTTCCAGCTGACTTTAATCATTTCAAAAGTTTAAATGCAATGTCAATCACTATCTACTGTCCTCCTGATTACACTTTCTTTTTCCTGGTCATTATTAATGTTTCTGTTCCTAATTCTTCCACACCCAGTAACCCCTTGTGGCATAGCGGTTTTACTCTCTTGTAAAGAGTGAAACAAATTAAAAAATGTTCCATTCGATTAGGGACAATCATTTCAATGAGCAAACAAATTCATTCTCTCTTCTCTTTCACAACTAGATCAGGTCTGTGGGCCTTAATTTCTTTATCAGTATCGATTGGCATATCCCATAGAATAGCAGCTTCATCGTTTTCTGTTACAGATCATTGCTCATTTAAATAGAAATTGTCTTGCTCACTGACAATGATATTGCTTTGTTAAGCCTTTGTATGTATTCATTGATTTATTTTTACGGTTTATCAACCTTTTTCAGGTTATTTAAAATAAAATATTTTTAAATCCTAAGAATATTTTTGTGATAATGATTCACTGATACAAGGTCTACTAATTAACCCATAGATGGAGGGGAGAAAAGCTGGATTTATGGCGTTCCAAAGGGTATTTGCGTGTAAGTGAATATAATGAACTCAACTGGAATATGAACTCGGAGCACCGATTTTCTATTCAGAGCCGTTACCATTACGCCACCCGGACATCCGCGCTTACAGCACCTGGTATTCCCAAGCCGTCATCCATTTAAGTACTGGCCAAACCCAATTTGCTGATTGTGTGGGAACCAGTATTTCATCAAGATATGGTCGTAAACTCCTTTTGTGTGTATTCTCCTGTGGCCAACTCTTAGCATCCACAGACTAAATGGTCTATTGTTTGTTGTTATTTGATGAATATCCTGCATATCAGGCTGGTGTTGTCTTTCAAGATCTTGTTTCGGTAGTAATTGGTTTTAATACACTAGTCTGGAGTCAGTCTCGGATTTTAGGCCAGCTGTTCTTAGCTATTGATTTGTTTTGACTTGATCCACATTTTTATCGCTGCTTCGTTTTGAATATTGTCTCTGCAGAGGTTTGTCCTATTTTTTCAGTAAGATTCACCCTGTACAAGTCCCGGGGACCACTTGAGGTAGAGGGTTACGTTAAGGGGTAATTTACATGGATAGGAGGGTAAGATAAAGGTTAACCTGAGACTAGAACAGTTTAAGATTGCAGTGATCGGGGAAACATCCCCTTAGAAGTTCATTCCACACAGCAGTGGTTCGCAGGAAGAAGCTGGAATACGGAGAGAATGGGGACAGTTTGCTACAATGTAAGCGGTATGGCGGATCCTGGCCGCGATGGTTAGAACTGGTGGAACCAAGGAATGTAGCTCGTCCGAGCACTTTCCATGGGAGTTGAGATAGAGCAGTGAGAGTCTCGCCACATCCAACCTGTGAGAGGGAGAGTTTGGAAGGTGGAAAATAATTGGTCACCAACAAGTGCTCGGAGACGCTTTTGATCTCTATCAAGACTGGAAAGTGAGAACTAGGGAGACCCCGTCCAAATATAACAATAGTACTCCATTCTCGGCCTGATCTGGCCCTTCTAAATATAGAGGATATCACGGGGAGTCAGGTACTTACTGGAGCGGTACAGGGAGCCGACATTTTATCCTAGATCTTTCGTGATTGATCGAAAGTATGAATTCCACTATTTTCTTAGACACAATGCCTCTCCAAGAGGTCATCCGTTCATCCTGATTGCCGGTATTTCGGAGTTCGGTGGACGATGATCGAATGTAATTAGTTTTGTTCTTGAGTCATTAATCTTGTTATGGTCTAGGTTAGAACAACACGAACACAAGAGTAGAAATAACGAAGGTATATTACATGAAATAATAATACAAGATGTGGAAGGTGTTAGTATGACTGTCAGTCTGGTTTGGAGTGAACTACTATCGGCTCGACTCGATTCGGTATCTAACCACTCCCCCACGAGGGTTGCATGTGGCACAAGGCCGAGTTTAGCATGGGTTTCCCGAGCCCGTAGGACCCGTATAAACGGGATCGGGTTGGTCAACCTCCCCGAACGAGACTCTGCCCTTCGGCGGAGCCTCGTGCGGGTTCCTCTCTACTCAGAGGCAGAGAGTTCGACCGTCAAGCCGAGAAGCTCGGCTTGAGTCAGTATCTAGCCACCCCCCCACGAGGGTTGCATGCGACACAAGGTCATTTTTATCGTGGGTTTCCTGAGCCCGTAGGCTCAGCCAAAAATATGCCCGTATGACTCGTAAAAAACGAGATCGGGTAGGTCATTTACCCCGAACGAGATTCTGCCCTTCGGCGGAACCTCGTCCGGGTTCCTTTCTGCTCAGAGGCAGAAAGTTCGACCGTCAAGCCGAGAAGCTCGGCTTGAGTCGTCCGTCTCTCGTGAGAGGCATAGTATATATAGTGTTAGGAAGAGTTAATTCTGTAGTTATAGGTAAGGACCCATGACAGACCTTTAGCTGTCCTTTGCTTTGATGTTTGGCCGTCAATTTTGATCTTGTGGTGACTGGCTCGTTTTCTGAGATTTCGATTTCGGATATATCCTGTTTTCTTCTGAATTTCCCAGCTTCATGCTGCACTAACGATGTTTTCTCCGTTCGTTCCTGTTCTCTAGCAATCATAAGAAAACTATCCTCTTTGCTGTTCAAGTATGTTTCAAGCAAACTTTGTACATCATCTCGAACTGTAAAAGGACACTTCCACATGGTGTTTATAGCAACTAGATATTATCAACGTTATTATTATTTTTTTGTTTGTTTTTGTTTTGTTGTTGTTGTTGCTTTTGTTTGTACAGTTTTCGTTTTCAACCAGAAATCTTGCATTATGGGTGTTCCCTATCAACTCGTACCTTTTCAGAAATAGGGCACCTTTCACGAAAAAAAAAAAAAAAAAAAAAACTTGTGAAGTGATGGGATACTAAGCTTTATTTTGGTATCTTAATGTTTGTTTGTTTTTTTTTTTTTGTTTGTTTGTTTTTTTAAGTTCAGTGGTACTGTCCTGAACACCCCAATGAGAACTGGGGCCTGAACGTCCCATATTCTGACAACCTGAATCCAGAGGTCGGCATATTTCTTAAGATTTCTATGACCTTGATGTTATGGTCCCTAGGAATATCGATGAGGCGGCATTTTCTTGTTTCTTTGTCAACGATGATAATGATTGGCTTGTTGGCCTCGAGGACGCGATCTCTTTTTCGTCGTGACTTGGTCGTCTTCCATCACTTTACTTGGCTTGTGGCTGGAGCATTTCTCGTCGACTTCGAGTCCTCATTTCATACCTAGACAAAAATGCAGACGAGAGGCCACTTCATCTCGGCGGCGCTTTCAGCGAAAGCATTCTGCAATTGTTAATGGTGTAGATGACATTTTCCACCTCCTTGGTACACAGCCTGCATTTGTACAAATTCGCTTGGTGGTAGATATTTTTCCACACAGAATTAGTATTCAGGACTTGAGTTATTATTATTATTATTCAAATTGTGTTATCACTACTAGCAGTATTATTATTTAGCGAAAGAAAAACGGACTGGTAAGGGTAAAATTATTGATTTCTTACTTTCTAATCTAAAATTATAAAGAAAAAAAGAAGGAAAAATATGATGCGGACATCGGCGACGCCATCCAAATAGTTCTGTGCAAAAGTCTGACAATCGACAGACGCTTAAATGCCAATCGCTAATTGTATTGCGTTTTATTTAATCAACATCTTTCGTGTATGGCGACTGGGTTTTGTGTTGCGATTTGCAACTGCATAGAGAGTACAGGACAACCTTCTCCGTTTTTTCTATGACTTTCTATCTGTCACGCAATCTATCTCTGTTAATGTTTGTCTCTTTCTTCTCTACTTATGTCTGCTTTTATTATTTTAATCTTCCTTATCTGAGCATTTCTCTTCAAATCTATCTTTTCGGTTTTTTTCACTCTTTCTTTTCGTGCTTTCTTTTTTAAAAATCTATTTTGTCATTTTTACTGTCTTGACTGCTCTCTCCGTTCCAATATCTCTTTCCTTCCCTCTTTTCATTTATGTTTTTTTCTATCGTCTTTTTTACCTCGCATCTCTTTTTTTTCTTGCCAGTATTTGCTTCAATCTTTCGTTGTTTTTCTCTTCCCGATCTTATGACACCCTCCACTGCTTTTTCTTTTTTCTTTTCTTTGTCTCTTATCGATCTTATTACGCACTCTTTTTAGCTTCCTTTCCTTCCATTTTTCTCTGTTATTACACACTCTTTCACTTTCCTTTTCCCCCGTTTTCTTTTCTCTCTTATTATTCCCTCTCTTTCTTCATTTCTTTTTTTTCTTTCCTCTTTTATTACCCCAACTCTTCTCTTTCTTCTCTTCTTTCCTGTTCTCTTTTCGCATTTATTACTCCCGCTCTTTCCATTACTTTTCCCTTTTTTCTTTTCTCTCTTACTACACCCTCACTTATTCACTTCTTTCTTCTCTTTTGCACTTATTACTCCCTATTTAGCTTTCTTTTTCATTCTTATTACACGCTCTGTTTTTTCCTTTCCTTTTTTTCTTATAGACTTATTATTCCCTATTACGCTTTTTTTTCCTTTCTCATTCTCTTTTCTCTCATTACTCGCTCTCTTTTTCCTTTCTTTTTCTCTTTTCTCTCTTAATTACTCACTCCCTTTTTGCCTATCTGTTTCTCTTTTCTCTCATTTTACTCCCTATTTCATTTTCTTGTTTCGTTTTTTATTCTCTTTTCTCTCATTACCCCTCTCTTTTGTCTATTCTTTTTCTCTTTTCTATTATTACACCTCTCTTTTTTTCTATTCTTTTTCTCTTTTCTATTATTACCCCTCTCTTTTTTTCTATTCTTTTTCTCTTTTCTATTATTACCCCTCTTTTTTCTTTGTCTATTCTTTTTTTTTTCTCTTTTCTATTATTACCCCTCTCTTTTTTTCTATTCTTTTTTCTCTTTTCTATTATTACCCCTCTCTTTTTTTATTCTTTTCTTTTCTTTTCTTATTACCCCTCTGTTTTTTTCTTATTCTTTTTTCTCTTTTCTCTATTATTACCCCTCTTTTTTTCTATTCTTTTTCTTTTCTATTATTACCCTCTCTTTTTTCTATTCTTTTTTCTCTTTTCTATTATTATTCCTCTCTTTTTTCTATTCTTTTTTCTCTTTTTCTTCTCTCATTACCCCTCTCTTTTTTTCTATTCTTTTTCTCTTTTCTATTATTACACTCTCTTTTTTTCTATTCTTTTCTCTTTTCTATTATTACCCTCTTTTTTTCTTTTCTTTTCTTCCTTTTTCTATTTTCTTTTTCCCCTCTCGTTTTTTCTATTCTTTTTCTCTTTCTCTTATTACCCCTCTCTTTTTTTATTCTTTTCTCTTTTCTCTCATTACCCCCTCTTTTTTTATTCTTTTCTCTTTTCTCTTATTACCCCTCTCTTTTTTCTATTCTTTTTCTCTTTTCTATTATTAACCCTCTCTTTTTTCTATTCTTTTTCTCTTTTCTATTATTAACCCTCTCTTTTTTCTATTCTTTTTCTCTTTTCTATTATTAACCCTCTCTTTTTTTCTATTCTTTTTCTCTTTTCTATTATTAACCCTCTCTATTTTTTTTTCTTTTTTTTCTTTTCTATTATTACCCTCTTTTCTTTTTTTCTATTCTTTTTTTCTCTTTTCTATTATTAACCCTCTCTTTTTCTATTCTTTTCTCTTTTTTATTATTACCTCTTTTTTTTTCTATTCTTTTCTTTTTCTATTATTACCCTCTCTTTTTTTCTATTCTTTTTCTCTTTTCTATTATTACCCCTCTCTTTTTTTCTATTCTTTTTCTCTTTTCTATTATTACCCCTCTCTTTTTTCTATTCTTTTTCTCTTTTCTATTATTACCCCTCTCTTTTTTTCTATTCTTTTTCTCTTTTCTCTTATTACCCCTCTCTTTTTTCTATTCTTTTTCTCTTTTCTATTATTACCCTTCTCTTTTTTCTATTCTTTTTCTCTTTTCTATTATTACCCCTCTCTTTTTTCTATTCTTTTTCTCTTTTCTATTATTAACCCTCTCTTTTTTCTATTCTTTTTCTCTTTTCTATTATTACACCCTCTATTTTTTTTCTTTATTTCTATCTTTACTCTCTTCCCCTTTCATTTCAATATTTCCTATATCCTTTTATTTCTTTCATTTCAGTAAAACTCTTCTTCTGATCAGATATTTTCTTCTTCTTTAACATCCTTTATCTTTTTTATCATTCCCTCGTTCGCATCCACTTTCGTCCCCCCCCTCTCTCTCTATATATATATATATATATTAGGTTGGTGCAAAAATAATGACGTAATAATGTCGTTTTTGACGTTAAAAATACGTCAAAAAAACGGCATTATTACGTCATTATTTTTGCAATAACCTAATATATATATATATATATATATATATAATGAAAATGGGATTACATTCAGGCCTAGGAGCCACTCCTACTTCCAGAGAGAAAAGTTAGACAGACTAAATACATATTGTCTCTACGATTTCTATTCCGTATCTTCTGTCATGTTTTGATTATAAGATCGGGTACACTGATGGTTATGTAACAAATCGATATCGTCCACCCTGACGTATCTATATAAATTATCTAATTTTCATTCTGTATATTGTCTGGTATACAGTGATTAATTCGTAATTACAAACTGTGACCCGTTCGACTTTTGTACATTTCGTTTATAATATGTCTGTTCTTATAGCTTAATAAGTGAGGTTCGTGTAATGATAAATACTAAAAATATATCGCATTTGGTACCTTGCTGATAAAACAAAGGTTAGTAAGCGAGTTTTGCCAATCATTACTAACATAGTCAGCTCGATCCTCATTGGGGTATGGTACTTATGACTTTAAACTAAATTTAACGAAGAATAAATATTTAGTCGCCTTGCCGAGGAGCAATGATTAACATACTCATTTCGCTAGCAGTTACTACTTTAGTGAGTTGGATGGAAATTGGTGCCACTGTTGTTGCATTGTATTGTCGATATAATGGCGAACCTCAATTATGTACTGATATAGAAATCGCCTTTATTTTAATTAAAATCGAGTTTACTATCATTTTGTGCTATATATTCAATAATAAAAATCAAAGAATATAATATTATGAAAGAATCTACATAATATTCTCTGAAGAAAATACGCCATTTTTTACTTTATTTTTCCATATTTATATCCTTTGACAGTACTCTTTAAAAACGTAAATGCTAAGTCACTTCATAAGTCGTGTTTGCTTGTGGTGTATCATTAGTCATATCACATTTGAAAAAAACAAAAAAAAAAAACAAAGCACAAATCATAATTGCTTCAAACATGTCGCCATCAATATGTGCACTGTATTAGTAGAGAACAAAATATATTAAATAGCGGCACAAGTAGCAACAAGCAAGAAAATGCCTGTGGAATGCACAATCGATAAACACTTGGTAGTCTTTTTTGTACAAAAATAAATCGAAAAAGAAAAAGAGAAAATAAATTAATTGGCTTAATCTTCATAATATTTTCAACCTTTGTCGAAATGAAAATTAAATTTTGTCCGACATTTTTAGATGTCCCCATTATTCAGTAAGTTTCCAGGACTAAAATTTTCATATCTGTTGTTACGTTTTGTCTCAGAGGCCGGAGCCAAAAATTTAATAATAGAAAAAAAACAAAAAACGATAAAGATGTATGATTTTATTTTTAAATCATTCAAAAAATGTGAAGAAACTAGGCACTTAGACGTGCAAATTTGTCTCACCAGACCAATTACAATGGTTGCTTCCTAGTTTCGGCCTTTTTGCTATATATTAGGTACGCTTAGTAAATCTTTATATGTGAAGAAACTGGGCATTGGAAAGATGAATACATTTTCAAGCGACTTTTAGTTCCTTAAATGAAACGGCATCATTTCGTCAAATGCCTTTCTTTTATTCACTTCTATTTAAAGGAACAGTTATTCTCGAAAATAGAATTGTGAAAAGACATGGAATCGTAGATGATATATTGATCATCTATATCCTAAAATAAGCGCTGATTCTTTGTATGTCTGATTTTGCATACGCATATATGTTATATATATATATATATATATATATATATATATAATTAAGTAATAAAAAGTTTGGTAATCCGTATGGACAATCTCAGGGAGGATGTAATCCAGAGAGCCTCAACGTCAAATCAGAGCAATTATTAATTCAATTTAGATAGAAAACAGACAATCTTAAGGATTCATTGGTTATAATTTATTTCCCCAGGTATATGATTTTTACCCGGTTCATCAGACCGCACTTCCAAGGGTGAAAAAATGTTTTAAATTTACATATAGTTCTTACACATTTTTGAGGGGTAGTTTTAAGCTGATGTAAGATGATATACAGAGAAGGGAGGAGAAGTATGACAGACATGGTCGAATTTTGAGAGGGAAGGGAGAGATAGGAATAATTTTAAATCAAATTTTAATAAGCTATTTAAGAGCAAGGGAGGCGGGCTTAAGACCAGACATTGACCTATTTAATAAGTCATCTCATATATATATATATATATATATATATATATATATATATATATATATGTATATATGTATATCGGTGTTGTTTGTGAGTGGCTTACATGAACGTGTAACATTTAATGTGCACACGAGCACAGGCACACACATATATACACGATTTGATGGAATCTGAAATAAGACACTGGAGTAATTCCGATCCAACACAGTCTGGACAACCACAAACTTCAGCTGAGCAATAAAATCAAAGTTGGAGACAAGAAAGCAAAAAGTTCATACTTTTTTTTAACCTTAATTTTTTAGAAATTATTCGGTGATAAACTATTTTTGAAAGTTACTTTTGTAACGTTGCAGCTCACAACAATCACCAGGTTCTTTCTCAGGGTTGCAACTTCTTCCAGTCAAATACCAATAGCTTAAAAATAAACTTCCGACTGGATCGTTACCCACGAATTCATACCATAAGAATTTGTATCAGTAAGTAGATACCTGCTTGGGTTCCTTCTAATATCTACTACAACTCTTTACTTCTAACATCTCCACCTAAACTCTGAAATATTATTTACTATTTTTTTCTATTTATTTATTTACTAGCTTAAATATCGAGGAGCATTTAATTCTTGATTGGGCCTTCATCACAATAGGTAGGGAGGAGTAGATGCCATAGACAACAATAAACTACAGAAGAACTCAAAATTGATCGCTGCATTTAAATTAATATTTAAGCTTATCTTTTAAAAGTTCAATGATAACTCTCCTGCCGCCAATTAATTTAAAGACGGTTTAATGTACGTAGGTCCTTACTTTTCATACAAAGGATTATTTTTATTTCATGAGTGACTTTCGCTGGATTTCGCAATTAATTTCGATTATTCCCAAATTTATTTCCAAGTGATAATAATTGTTATCGTACAAAAGAATTCGTTGCAAAAAATCACGGAAAAAATCGCCGGAAACAATTGCAGTAATGAAAAGTTGGGAATTCAAAATTTCTGTAACATGAGCTATTGAAAGTTAGAGAGTTTTGTGACACACTGACATTCGTATTTGCTACATAAATTTATTTATTTTTCCTTCGGTAGGATTATTAAATACGTTCACCTATCGTTCGGTTCACACACTTTCCCCGTCTTTTTGCTCCTT